CCCCCTTCAATCGTCAATATTTTCCGATTCAATAATCCGATTGGGATGAGTTAGAGCTCGTTTTGAAGAATGAAAAATTATCTTCAAAATGAAGTTGAAACTGGGAATTTTCACAATGTCATTCACAAGTTATTGACAATTGAAGGGGGACCGTTTTGCCCCACCCTCCCCTATACTTTTGGAGAAGATTGATGAAATAATTTGAAAAATGCAATTTTTTAAAATTACGAGCATTTTTTATGAATAATTTATAAACAATCAATTTTCCACCATAAAAGTTATTTATTCGGAGTCAAATTTATTAATATTCAGAATATTCAGAATTTCACCTGCAGTCGATTTAATACCGAAAAAATAAAGTCTCCGAAAATTCAAATAATTTCAATTATTTATTTATATGCTGAATGTTCATGATTTTTTCACATTTTTCTCCGCAATTTAATCAACAAATTTAATGATTGAAAATGATTGAATCTGTAGTGTGGTCTGTACTAAACTGTCAAAGATACTTGGATATCCTTAAATGGATCTAACTTAATTCATCCAGTGAGAAAGCACTATCTCAGCGAAAATTTAAAAAGACATAACTCGGGTGAACAGCCACTAAATGCGATTTAAGTGATAATACTTTGTTAAGCATCAGAGAAATTTTCATAGCTTCAATTAATTTTACTGCTACATGTATTTTTTATTTTCTTTTTAACGAAATTTGTTGCAAGTTCCTGCAAGAGTATGCAACTGGCCATCGCCCGAGGGCCTTCAGCCAAGTATTTACATTTTATGTACATACACGGAGAGAAAAGTTGGATAAAATTACCTAGAAAATTATGGCAAATTTCACTGTACGAGCGGTAATCGTGAGGCGAAATGTAATTCAATTAAAAAATATCTATTTGTGGAGGATATTTTACGATTTGTTCGATAAAAAAACAATCTATGGATGCAAAAATTATCCTCCTGCACAGTAACAATTCCCACACTGGTATTTTTTTCTTGCATCCTTTATTGCCTAATGAACATACTTCTAGTGTTTAAATAATGGAAAAGCTCCTGAGTGATCATTTCATTAGTAAGATGTTTATTTTCATTAAGTGACCATATGTGAGGGCTTATACGCCGCCTCCATTTTATAATCTCATTTAAAAACCCATTGAAAGTCAAGTGTGAAGTAAAATCAAAATAAATAGAGCGGAAGCTAAAGACATGATTCTAAACACCTGCTGTATGTCCAAGCGGCAGAATTTAGTATGAGCTCACCTGAATCATTATTTTTCATTCGAGCTGAGATATCGTTTTTAGTTTTTTTTATGGGTGGAATTGTGTCAGTCCTTTTTGAGTCATTTTTCTTAATTATGTTCTTCCTTCTCTATCGAAAAATAAATCCAGTCAGTGGACACAGAAATTCTATTACGAAAAACAGGAAAACTGAACAATCGATTCACGATTCCAACTAAGAAGTTTCACTCCTGTCGCACGTGCACTGATGAAAAAAAAACATCACCAAATAAGTCGTTCTTTCACCAAAATATATGATCGTGATAACTATCCGGGTATTCAATATTTTTTTCTGAACATTTGACGAGTTAGAAGCAACGGGTTCGAAGAATTTGCATAAATAGTTCAATGTGATTTGTTAGTCGTTTCGGAAATTCAATTATCAAATGAAAAAGGTGAATATTCATTTCACCCAATATGTCTAGCCGTTTTCGCTGAGAGAATAAATTATAGTTCTGCCAAAAAATGATATGTTTAGATATACGAATAGATTTACCATAGGGAAATTAACCAAACTGATAGAAGAAAATTCAAGATCTTTCACAAAAATCAAAATTATGTCATGGCTGTTAGAAATATTTGTGGAAGAATTCGAATTGTCGGCAGGAAAATATAATTTGTTGTGCCACAGTCATTTGATCTGAGAGAACCCCAGAGCACTATACCATGGAAAGAATACAGTTTTCCCGAATAGTATATTTCGTCATCATGCCGGAAAAAACTTTTCTAACGAATATGAGTTCGAGCCGAAGGCGAGGATAGCAAAATTTTTGTTATATCCTTTTTTGTAGAACGAATTGGGAGACAGGAAAAAGCAGATTACTAAAACTTCGCAATCTCTTTTACATTCGGAAATGTCCCTCAGCTGAGAGCTAAGTCGACTTGAACCGTTTCACTGGTTCGCCACTGAATTGTTCCCCTAGAAATGATTAAGTTTTGCCAATAACGCAGTCTTCGGGAAGCAAAATCAAGTTTGTTTTGAAATTATCATTTGTTCCATGAAAATGATGTGTTTACTGGAAAAATATACATACTACTCAACAATATTTACTTGATAAGACCGGGCCTCATGTAATTCTCTGTATTACTAATGTGCCTACCCGAAAGACACAAAGATTAGTACATTAGAGTACAAGGGCACAAATTTAGTTTTCGACAAATGTGAAATTTACAGGCGGAGCCGAAGGCGAGGATAGCAAAATTTTTGTTATATCCTTTTTTGTAGAACGAATTGGGAGTCAGGAAAAAGCAGATTACTAAAATTTCGCAATCTATCTTACATTCGGAAATGTTCCTCAGCTGAGAGCTAAGTCGACTTGAACCGTTTCACCGGTTCGCCACTGAATTGTTCCCCTAGAAATCATTAAGTTTTGCCAATAACGCAGTCTTCGGGAAGCAAAATCAAATTTTGTTTTGAAATTATCATTTGTTCTATGAAAATGATGTGTTTACTGGAAAAATATACATACTACTCAACAATATTTACTTGATAAGACCGGGCCTCATGTATTACTAATGTGTCTACCCGAAAAACATATTAGTAAATTAGAGTACAAGGGCAGAAATTTAGTTTTCGACGAATGTGAAGTTTACAGGCCGAGCCGAAGGCGAGGTCTCTTCTCACATGCGTTGAATACGAAGTTTATGCCCCAGTGAGCTATAATATTTTATGTTACACCGTGCAGACGTCGCTTCGCGCAACGTGCGTCAAACTCGACTAATTGCGCTGCGTGACATGAAAATATCTTACGGGAACATTGACTGCTATGGAAATTATCATTTTTGGTATAAACTTTCTTCAATGTCTACAGCTAATTGAATCAGCACGACGGGAGATCTCTTCTGTTAAACTTTTGATTTTTCGGCAGAACTAATTTTTTCTGTCAGTACATAATACGAATAACCATATTGTCTGAAAAAACAACAAAGAATCACCAAAATTTTTACATCAGATCAAATTCTCTATCAGATAATCTATCAAATCAAATAATTTATCAGATAATTTATCACCAAAGTGATAAGCCTCATAATTCGTTGAATTATCTTATTATTCAGGTTTCAAAATATTCACATCTACAAATGAAACAGGTTTTACCTTGGTAATAATCAGGAAAGTATTTTATTGATTCAAATACATTTTCCTTGTTGAATCTTTTTGCTGCTATGCATTAGGAAATCAAAATGTCCATTCCATAGAGAGTGGCCTCCTAGAATGACCTAAATATCTACACTGAGAGAAAAACAAGATTGAAAATATCAAAAATAATTTCTTGAGCTGCGAAAATGGCATAAATGTTCGGTCAATTCACGACAGGTTTCAGACAAAAAATCGATACTTTTTGGTTTCAAGTAGTAGTTGAGTAGTACTCAATGAGAAATTATTCTCATTTCGAAAAGAGATAATATTCTTCAAACGATGAGCCGACTTTGAAATAAGAAAATGGGGTGATTTCTTTCCTTCGAACTTATGGCGATCGAGAGCAGGTGATAGTCATATGTCAGGAATCTGCGGAGATTTTCCTTTGCATGACTTCTACATTCATTCAATACACGAGCGCCTGATTTGTGATTTACTGAATCGAAGCTGTGAATGTTTTCAGCCATTTTATCCTTCAAATTAATTCCAATAATTTACTTTATATTTTATATTTCTCCTCCACTTCTCCTTTACCCATTTTCTTATTTTCTGGTACTAAAAAAGCGATTTCTTGAGCCAAGAAATTCTTTCTTCATCGTGGAATGTTCATGTTCATGTCATGAACACTCCACGCAAGAGAAAAAATAGAGAAAAAAAGCATACTGAGACAAAAAATAAATTTCTAGGATCAGGTTCATTCTTGTCACGCTATTTTTCTCGTTTGGAAGTCGAAAAGGTTTAGAAGATTGAGGCAAGTTGAATCGTTCTTGACATCAAGCATGAATATTTTTACGGACAACACATTCGAGTTTGTTACAATCAATGATCAGGACTTTGAAAATCTTGTTAAATAAATAAATTTTCACAGTCTCAAACGTTTATTGTGACAAACTCGAATGAGTTATTCTGAAAAGAATTGCTTCTTGTCAGAAAAGCGCGATTTTCCTGAATCTTTAGAGGAAGAATTGTGGCAAGAATTTTTTTGCTCCTAGAAAATCTTATTTACTCTCAGTGTACTACGAAATTCTTGTCCCGAGTTATTCAGTCTCAAATGATGATAAATTTAACTGAAGAACTTAGTTTCGTGATGCGAGGTCGTTTTTCCACTACTAAGCAGAATCCATAATCTATTGATACCCAGCACCGAGATGAATGAAGAACTTTTTCATCACTTCCCATTCAGACGCACGTATTCTCGTTTCCTTACATAAGTTGTCGTTAGCAACAATCAAAGCTATAATCACGTTTCATTGATCATGTTTTTTTTCTTCATGATGCTATAACGATTTATAATAGCGCATTATCATGTACATTTTTGTGCAAAACTGTGGGAAAAATACAAGTCAATTCTCTTTTTTATCACAGCCTCTTTATTACAACGAAATACCGACAATATTTCTCGCCGTCTTTCGGATCACGTGGACATACTAATAACATTCGTAGCCTCTAACAATTTAGTAACAGTCGTAGCGAGTTTGCATGACACTGCCTTCATCAACAACCGGCTTTTTATTCCGGCAGTGTGAAGAGCGAGATGATAGACATCAGCAAAAAACTGAAATCAACAAATCGTTGTTAACGAATGGGAGCAAAAAATATTGAATCGATGAGCGGAATACCTTATTATTATCTTCATCTAACGGTTTATCACAGAACTCCGATCCCACTTCCGTGCACTGAATGAGCATAGTTTGAAGGGGCGTCACCAGGAGCATCATATTAGATCGCTCCTTAGCGATACATCCGTGTAATTCTTTAATTTGCATGACAATTTGCCTCGCAGTGCCAGCTGCATTCCACCGAGACCATGCGAACATGTAGGCTGTGCAGAGTAATCCCATGCACGCCTGGAGGTGTCTCTCAGTGACTGGATGCTTAACTGGAAGACCTTTGACGTAACTAATTGCATCTCTATCCGGAAACAAGTCACAACCACCGGCTCTCATTTTCTGCGAGGATTTTTCATTCATTAGTTAGTTGGAAATCGGTTAGGTTTTTATTTGAGCTGATACGTTACTCGAATCAGGTGATCCAGTCGCATGTATTTGCCGACTAGGTCTTGTAGGGCTGCGGTGCCACCGCCTGCCAGGGAGTGGAGACAGACCAAGTCCTCCTAGGGATATATAGGAGGGATTGATACAAATATTATCCGTCCAATGATGTTTCATCATAGAGGAACAAAAGTTTTTGTCACGCCGTGCAATAAGTCGATTTCGCCCCCCTGGACCCCCTTCTTGGGCCCCGCCCCTCCTCAAACGTCGCCGCACTTTTGACTTTAGCCTCAACATAAAATGGTATGTGATATTCGGACGATAAGTGGCAGGTTATGACTCGTGTTTGTTGCACTCGTCATAACTTCCCACTTATCGCTCTTATATCACAATGCACTATCATTTGTAAAGATCTATCACTTATTTTCAGAAATCTACCAGCAATGATTGGCGATATTAGACGCAGGCTAGAATGATCCCGATCATCACTGATTTTTACCACTGAAATTTGAGGATTAATTCCCAAAAAGTAGACGTGAGATCCTGAAAATCCGTCACTTACCCTGAAAATTACTGACAAAATTAACTGAAAGGGTTTTGCATTCAGGGAATTTCACAATCGCAAATTCCTCATAATGGGGCATTAATTCCTGAAAATCTGTGACATATCCCTGAAAATCAAGACTGTTTTTTCTCTGTGAACCAAAAAAGACTCCGTTCAATGTACTAAGCGTCCAATTCATTCAATTGGCCCAATTGTTTCTTTGATATCGAACAATAAACATCTCATGCGTGAACACACATCAATATGATTATAAACATAAACTCAACCGAATGGTAAACATTGACTGAGATGAAATAAAATTGACCCGAATGGAAAGAAAACCTGAAGAAAACCGCCTTAAAATCAAACCGTTAAGATTGCTTCAGGAAAAGTTCAATATTCCGCTGTTGTTCAGTTTTTCAATAACTTTTCTTTCGTCAAGTTATTGAATGAACAGTATTAACAAATGAAAAAAATTTGGACAAAGTACCATTAAACGAATAATGATTGAAAGAAAATTATAGAATCCCTGTTACGACGAAACGCATGAAAAATTCACAAATTGAAGATTACATTATATGATTATACAGAAGGATAAAAACCTATGTTGTATAACTTATGTGCATCAATATGTAAATTTAATCTCCTTTTCAATTTCCGGTGTGTGGCGATTTAATTTACTCAACAAATCGTGTTGTAATATCACGATTTCTTGTGACTAACTATCATTAGTGGTCAGATGCGTTTTTTATCCAGTTGTGGGAAACGGAAAATATTCTTCCTCTTTACTGATAGTCGGAAATAGGAAAGACAGTTTCCTCACTTTGACAATGAATTCCACTTGTACAATGGCCGCAGAGATGGTCAATACGACTCCGCCAGCTTTTCCGGTTTCCGGTTTGAGTTCCCAACTTTGAAAAGGGAGATTCACGAATTTGAAGGCTGCAAGACCGTGAACTCCAAGTCTGCCAGATCTGAAAGTGATTATTTGCTTTTCCTCGTTATATTTGATATCGTGAACGTCTTGAGTCGACCAAATCCTCCTTTCTGGAATCCAATGGGCGACGAGCGGTGGCTCCAACCACAAAACCGAATCTGGAAGTCTAAGTCATTGTTTTATCATTCTCTTGGACTGATAAAAATTCTGGTGAGGCTAGGAAGAGAATTTTTACTGGAGAGTTATGAGAACTAGCTTCTCCATTGCTGCCTCTAAGGCTTTTATCTCGGCTTCGATTATTTCCGGGGTTCTCTCAGCATCCGGCGCTGGCGGTGGTGCCTTATATGGTCGTGAGAACGGTACGAATTTCAATTCTTTCGGTAGCTGAACTGAAAAACATATCGGAATATTCTTGCACATGATGGAATTGGTTTTTAGCTGGTTCAGATTACCTACGAGTGGTCAAGAAAATATCTCGTCTCATGTCCTTAGGCTGCGGCGGTTGGTAAATCAAATCAATGTTCAAGACACCGCCCAAGATGGCATATTTCCTTAGGTTTATCTCCGTTTTTTCGCATCTTGTAAATAACAATTTTCGGACTTCCTTTCTGTTCTCCTCTGGGTACAAAGTAAATGGTCAAGATTTTGAAAGGGTTCGTGCGGTATCATGAGTATTGCATGGAACAGTGGAAATGTATCTCGGGAAATACTCCTAACATCTTCCCTTCCGGAACGAAATGGATTTTTAAAAGTATTATTTGCATATACGAAATGGGATCAATATCCTATTTAATGTATATTTCTAATCTTTTTCATATATTTAAAGAAATATGTGAAGAAGTATATAAAATTGACCCATAGATGTGGATGTCCGCATGAAGCGGAAGTGAATAAATTTCGTTCGTTTCGGAAGTTTTAAGTCGGAAGTACTTACTTCAGAAGTTCGTTTTTCGGAAGTGAGTAAATTTCGTTTTGTTTAATACAAAAATTTGCGCCATTTATGTTAAATAGGCAGACAACATATCCTTCAAATATTAAAAATATATTCTCGATTCTTTCAGAAACATTTTTCGGGTCATTTCAGGTGAATGTCAATTTTTTATTCAGAAAATACCGAAATTAGCTGTGTAGGAGTTGCATTTCAAAAAACCAATTCGTAATTGTTACTGCACATAGTTTTCCAAAAATTTTCAGAAAAAAACCTCTGTAGCACGAAAATTGGAGGCCCTAGGCTATTTTTAGCATTTTAAGCGTCTGCGGGGCGAACGAACAATAAACAATTAATTTTTTTGCACTAATTATTCGTTTTTCGGCATATAGAATCGATTGCCAATGTGTGAAAACTCTCAATAGCCCGCGACTTTTAAAACTCATGATAGTCTCCCCTTGAATTATTTGTTCTGCCGGCGTCATTTTTTGCTGTATCAGGATGCAGCAAAAAATGCCGGAATATAGTGCAAATGATTTTAAGAGTGATTTTCCAACCAGGGGAGAGTCCTAGACCCCAGACTCAGAGCTCATAGCAGAGATGTCAGACAAGATGTGAGTGAGAATCTACCGTGGATCCACGATAAAATTTACCGTGGAGTGTGCGAATAAATACTGCCAACATTAATGCTCCTCCTCAAATGCAGTCGAAATATCTCTCATGAAATATCCTTCTCACCTTCCTCAATTCCATGATCCCTAGCAAGTGAATTATTAATTTGCGAATAAATTCCACAAATACCCATGCATATGAAATTTTGTAGTCATCAGAAAAGTTATGTGTGTACAGGGAAAAAAATCGCTCATGAAAAAACTCGATTTCTGGAAAAGACATAAATTTTCACAGCAATAATGCTGTTTCGAAAAAGAGATACCTTCTTTTTGCAGTACAATCTCGTCAGGAGTTGGTAAGTAGGGCAGTGGCTCAGGCTCCGCCTCTGGTTCACTCTTTTTAGTCCTGCCAACCACTGCTGCTTGTTTTTTCCCACCTTTTCCTTTTTTCTCCTTCACAGCTTGGGGTGGATTCAACAAACGCTCAACCAGTGCTTTTTTCTCCTCCAGTCTCAATTTTCTGCCCTCCACTTGCTCCTCACGGATCTTCATTTTTGTCTCGTACTCATTCGACGTAAACGTCAGGAGATCTGGGAAGGAAAAGTGTAGTGCATTAATTATTTATCATTAGCATGGTCGGTCTGCAGCACAGACCACTCGCCATCGTGCGACATAAAAAATTAACTCTTGAAGAAGCAGAAAAACGTTTATCTCCTTTATCAGTTTTTCCTTTGTACCTTCGTTCGCGTGATACTCTCTTGGTATCTCTGGCATGAGAAAAGATGGACTCAGATCTGAGTAGTGATCGTATTGAACCCAGAGGCCTCTGATCGCCATTGCATAACAATCCATGTCAACTGGCATTTTCAGAGTTATATCCAACTCGTTGAAGATAACTTCAATCGATTTTCTGCAAAGTAATGAGAATCGCGTGGCATTCGTTCATTCTCCTTTTCCGAAAGCGAAAATTTTGAGTTAATTTCAATCCCGAGGCGATAATAAGTTACTCGTATTAAATAAATTGTTATCATGTTCGAAGATAAAATATATCCAAGTTAAATAACGATCTATTAATAATGAAAAAAACATTTATTTGAGGGGAGACTACTATGAGTTTTTTAATTCGTGCGCTATTGGAGTAAGATTTATTATGCATTGAATATCTATTATCTATGTCTAAAAACGAATAACTAATGCAACGAAATTAATCGTTTATTGTTGAAGTGTTGAACTGTACAATAGCAATTACGAGTTAGTTGTTTAAAATTCGATTTCTACACAGCTAATTTCATTTTTTTTTATATAAAAAAGTGCACCATTTATGTAAAATAGAAAAAAGAGCCTTAAAAAATTTAAAATACATTTTCTTTCAGACATTCTTTCAGACGCATGTTTGTAGCTATTTTACATGAATGCAATTTTTTATATAAAAAAAAAATTAACTGGGTAGGAGTCGAATTTCAAATAAATAGCTCGTATTTGTTATTGTACACATTTTTTCCAAAATTTTGGAAAAAAAGCCTTTCCCGCTCAAAAATTGGAAGCCCTGGACTATTTTAAACATTTTACGCGTCTGCAGCGCAACCCTACAATAAACAATTTTTTTGCTTCAATTTTTTAAAAATGACTCTTGATATTTCAAGTGAAAAAGCTTGAAATTTTTAACAACGACAAAGTTACATGAAATTCCAGTATATTTCTTCATTGACGAATCAGTTAATTCCTTGAATATTCAACAATCAATGATTAGCAATGATTATCAATCAAATCAATCAAAATCAATCAATGACAGACAGATCAAAATGATTATTTAACATGAAAAACTCAATTTGCTTGAAATTGAATTCAACCCCACAACATCGAAAATTCAGATGACGCTGTGACTGAAGTATTAAGAAATTTCCAACAGTGTATTCGTTTTTAGACATATTGAATCGACCTTCAATCTACGAAAAATCTCAATCCAATAGCCCGCGACATTTAAAACCCATAATAGTCGCTCCTTAATATAAACAAAACCGCAGATAGAGAAAAAAAAATCAATTTGAATAACAACTTTATTTCGTACTGTTTAAATAAACTTTATTAGTTTCAAATAAATCTTCTTATCGGTGCGCTCAGTTTTTCTTTACGAATGTAGATATGACGAAAGAGTTTCTTTGTACCTGTCTCGTTCAGCGACCTGTTTAATACTGATTGGAAGTTGAATGAGCGCCCAAACACAGCAAATTAATTCGCTCGACTCCTTAACATATCTAGCATTCTTCAAATCCTCCCTGACCATGTCCCACTCGATATGCCTGAGCAATCGATAACTCGCGAGATCAATCCAACACTTCAACCTCTCCCGAAACATTCGTCTAATCTCTTTGCACTCGTCTATGTACTCCCGCGCCGCCATGACGGAAAAATCGATGATATTATCCAACTTGGCGAGCAGCTGCGAACCGACAAATCGAAATTACGTGCAGAAGAAAGTCTCTCGTCCGGGGGAAAAAAACTTACATAAGTCACAACTTGGCACTTTGTCGTGACATTCAACATCGATGCCTCGTCGTACTCCTGGTCCCAGAGGAATAAAAAAGTATTCAACTGAGAGAGTACACCGGGATCGGGAAGACCATCGCAAGTCATGTACCGTAACCACTGGAACGAGAGAAGAAGATTTAATACAACATGTCGATTCTTCTTTTGCACAAAACTCTCTTTACTTCTTCCTCCTCGGTTGTCTTCAAGACGTAGTCCATATAAGTTTTTTCATTATTATGGATGACGCGGCAGGTTTTTTCGAGATGAATTCTTCGTTTTGCTCCTTGCTCTATTTCCAGCTGCAGATGTCTTTCTGAATTGTACTTCTCCAAACGTATTTCTTCTTGCATCTCCTTTATCATGACATTTCTGGAGGCATGAAACGTTTAGCGATTTTTTTTCACTGCGTAAATTCATGAACATTGAATTTAAATGGAAGGACGGTTATTACAAAAATTCATCTATCTCCCTTAGATTCGGAGATATTCCTAGAAAACTCAGCTAAAAGCTACATCGATTTCAATCATTTTGCCGCTTCGCAACTGAATTCCACGGAAATAGTTTTTTATTTTCTTCTTGAACCGAAATGTCGATGAAAATCTTCGAGAAATTCGAGACGATCGATTTGACGAGGGCGCGACCTGAAGGTGCGGGACGAACAATTGAAATAAATGCAAAATGCTCGGTAATCTCGGCTCAAATGCTGCTTTAATTGAAGCTTGATTGTCTAACCACAACAGTTGAAGTGAAGCGCATTTCAACTACCAAAATTCTTGGACATCATGCATCGCCTTTCAAGAATCTTGTTTCGAATAATATTAACGACTAACGTAAATATGCTTAAAGAACTATACCGTTCCTCAATTCTCTGCACTTTTTCCTTAACAGTTTCTGCGTAACTTCGGAAAAAAGTTATTTCAGCCAGTGGATCAGTATACATGATTTCAATATACGATTGCGTAACTCAAAATCTTGATTGAATTCCGAATCGCGAAAGAGGTAATCGCGAAAACGAGGTAAGGACCCGACAGCAGTGGTTTAGGCTTGTCGAATATTTTAAAATTGACTGAAGCGTTTCGACTTTAACACCCCATCGGGCCAAGCTATTCCGCCCGTAGTTTCACAGGGTGGGGAATGAATTGCGGAAATAGAATAGAATCGAGGATGAGGAAGCATGCGAAGTAAACACGAACGGAGTTTTGATCTAGATTTCACACGGAGTTTTGAAGTCAATTACTAAAGTTTTTGGCGGGTTTCTCTCATTTGCGAAAGGCAAATCTTGAACTGAGTTTATATGGATGAAATTTTTCAACTTTCTTACCTCTGCTTCTCTGTTTCAGCAGCAGTCGCTGCAGCTGAGCGAGTTTTTTCTTTCTCTTGCTCCTTCATCTCCTTTTTTTTCTTCTTCTTTTTCTTTTTAGGCTTCTTGGTGACTGGTGTTGGCTGTAGAAATGGATTAGTTCCGTGAGGATATCGAGAATGAACCTAAATTAATTATCTCACCTGCAATTCCTTCCAATCTTGCACCTGGAATAGAATTTTTTATTCCTGTTTTTAAAAAATTTCTATTATTTTTGTTTGTTTTAGAATGGGAAAATATACAAGTTTGGAAAACCGGGACATTGTCTTCGGCTTCTTGGGAAACTTCGGCGGAACATCTGTTTCATATTCGTCGTAAAGCACTTCCGAGATAATAGATACTTCCTCCTCAAATTCAATCCACTCTTCACTCCCTCCCATTTCCTCCACTTCCTCCATTTTCTCCTCTCACTAATACTTTCGGTCGGGGACTTTCGGGAAATTCTCCACCTTAGAATTTTAATTCCGAATGGGGTAATGCACGTATGAAAAAATTGTATAAAAAATTTCTATTCGGATTGCGTATAGAATTTCTATAGCATTTTCGTATATGATATTCGGATATTTCTATACGGATATTTTTTATACAAATGATTTCTGTACGACTTCTATAGGTTTGATCCTATACGACGCACTGTCACATGTACAGAAACATTTCGTATGGAGTTGCGACATTTCTCTACGTTTTTCTCTGGAGCGTTTAGACATCTTTCGTATGAAAATAAAAATTCATATAAAAGTTTATGTATAGAAAAATAATTCGTATAGACAATATTCGTATAGGAATATTCGAATATCATATACGGAAATCCTACAACATTTCTATACGCAATCCGGATAGCAAATTTCTATACGATTTTCTCATACGTGTGTATTCAAGACAGTCGATGAATTCAATCTAAATCAACGTAAGTCTAAATGCCCGTTTTTTCAGAAACATTGAACTGTAAAGGTCAAGTCCATGAATCCATGAATTCTCACTTGTTACACAAGAAATAAGTGCGGTTGAAACATTTTTGGGAAAATTAAAATAAGTGAATTTGTAACATCTGTGGGGTTTAATTAATTGGCAAATTAACTTTTACATGTCTACACTATCTCAATGATTCGTTATATTAATTACATTTTTGGTATCTCGAATAATCACAAGGTTATTGACTGCTGAAAACAACTCTTATTACACCATAAAATAAAAAACACGATTATTAGTTTTTTACAGAACAAACTCGCCAAACATCTACAAAAGAAATATTAGCTTCAACCTAACACTTAATGAGTGCAAATGTACGTCAAACAGAGGTAATTACAATAAATTAAAAAAACGCATATTGTACAAATGACTACAGGATGTCATAATCAACAAAGAAAAATAATCAGTAAATACCTTAGAACATGAAAAAATAGATAAAAAACAATGAATGAGACTCAATGAAACTTCACAAGTGATTTCTTAATTACTACTGGCAGAAAAAGTACCGCAAAGTCGCGCAGATGTCACGTCCCTCAAGAAGGCTCTGACGTTCACGCGAATCGCCATCTTGTAAATTCTGAAACAGAGGAATAAGGTGATTTATCAGTTGAAGTTTGCTTCGATTTTTGACTATGAATTCAAATTGTACAAAATTTGACGATTATGCACTGTTAGCGATTCTCGGTTTGAATTTTCCGTGCCAAATTCCGGAAATTTTTATCGTGTTGAAGTTCCACTGAAATTTCAGGAAATCTTGTCGTTGAAAAATGGAATATTCCAGTGATTTTCTGTTCAAATGATTTGGAAATCAATAAAATACTTGATTTTTCAGTTCAATTATTCTGTGAAAATTCAGAAAAATCAGGAAAATTCAATGAAAAATGGAAAATTTATGTCATTTTATTGCTAAATATTCATGTTCTACTGAAAATTCAATCAAGTTGTAAAATTTATCTGACTCCCACTGAAAACTCATGAATTTCCGTGAATTCTACTTAAAACTTGAAATTTCATAACCATTTTTTCCTTAAATCCGATTCCATCTCAGTTTCATGAGATTTACTATATGTTTCATGAAATATCAACAAATTTCCAACAGTGACTATCTGCCTATAACGCCAAAAATTATTAAAAAATCGTAACGCGTAGAGGCTACGCGCTGCAAAAGTGAAACTTCTTAGTTCCATCTTTAAAAAAAAATCCTACTTTCGGATTATTAAGTGGTGAAATAAGATTGATAAAGTGAGATACCGTGGACTTTCGTAAGTAGCAAGACCAAGGAACTGGAATATAATAGGGGAAGGTGTTGCAAAATTATGTAAAAGAATTTTCATTGTCAATTTCATTGTTCAATTTCCATTTATTGCTTCTCTAGAAATAATAAAATGGGTTTACGATAACTGACATTTGAAATTAATACTCTGAATTCCAAATTCACATGGACAACCTAACTAACCCATTGCGGCACGGAGCTAACAAAAAGTATCAGTGTGAGGGAAGTGGGGGGTGCGTCCGAGCATTAGTACGCCATAAGAGTAGCGGGCGGCGCACGCACACTCCTACAAAAAGATGAAAAGTGGGGTACCGTAACGTGCCGCAATGGGTTAAATTTCACGCGGTGAGGCTGTTGCTACATGAGAATTGTAAGCATCGAACTGCTCTGTCAGTTTCATTATTACAACCTCTAAGAACCTGTGACATCGAGCGATCCTGTCTGATTTTTCCTTACATTCTCCCACGACGCCACGTTAACTTCTCCCACTCCACTTGCGTTACATCTCCACTCTCGAGTTATGTATTTCATTGAGAAAAGAGTTCACTCCCACCGAGCGCACAGCAGTTTCACTTCTAAAATAAGGAAAAAATATGGATCGCATAGATTCCATACGAAAAAAAAATCAACAAAAGTTTTCCTAATTAATTGTTATGCTTATTAAGACCTTCACTATTCCTCAATCAATTATTTAAATTCACTCTACACTGCCCGGACGCATTTAGCGAGTTTCCGGCACTGGCACGTAAGACAAAATTTCATTCAACATGGGAAAAAATCATTCATCTGTTGGAAATAATTTGTTTTCTTTACAAATTTCGGGAATTACGTTATTCTAAAACTACAATTTTTTAGACACTTCAATTGAAAAACTCCAGTTCTTTTCTATCTTTCCGGTTAACCAGTCAATGGCAATTGAAGAAAACCGACGTGTTGTGTCGTTTCCTTCATAAGGTGACCAATTTAGGGTTAAACCTTTGAGGACGTTAAACGAGTAGTTTATGAAGCCTTCTACTCAAGAAATATTAATAGCAACCATATTTATTATGGTATAAACTAATAAATAAGAATAATAAAAGAACCAGTCATACCGGTGGGGATCATAGCAAAGCACGTCGTCGAACGACTATTTTGTATCAAATTGTACGAGATAATAAATCTTTCGTCTATTGGAGAAATGTAAAACTCACAATTGCTCATGTATTTTTGGCTATTACGACTATAAACATTATTTTGAAAAAAAAACCTTGAGGAAGTTCGTTTAAAAGAATAGCGTATAAATTAATATATGGGTTTTCAAGCAAAACTTAAGAAAAATGATTAGATTCGAGTCAAAAATGGCGATAAAAGTCTGAAATTTTCAATCAATGGGATTTAAATTATTCCTGATCAATTGTGGTATCTACTTCAAGAAGTTCGATGTTTTTTAATTGATTACTTTACTGGGGGAATATTAATTTCAGCTTGGGAGATTGCAGAACATGTTGGGAAAGAAACAGTGTGAACCAGAACGTACTTTATTTCTCCAGTGCAACAATGTAGTGTAATAGACGAACTGTCTGAAATTCGTGTTTCAAATGAATGTTAACAGGAGCATTAACAGTGATCGTAGATGTAGTCTCTATGGATATTCATGAACTTGCACTTTGGCCCATGTCGATGCATGTAAATGAGTAGAGAAGTCTCGCATCACTTCCTGCTCATTCCCTTACCCATAATTATTTTTCATTTGGCTCATTCGATTTTTGGTTTCGGGTGATAAGGGTGAGCCCCTGACTCTCATCTGTGCACAATCCCCAGTGGTATATTCAGTGTATGTTTCATAATAAGACAACAAATTATTGGAAAACAGTTTTGTGGTGATGAATACACTGAGAGAGGAAATTATTTCGGCCGAAAAAATATATGTTCCACGGGAAAGATCGTTTGTCGTGTTGAATCAATTTGGTTGTAGGCGAAGAAGAAAGTTTTCACTAAAAAATGATCGTTTCCGTTGAATACAGTTGTTTAACAAAGAATTAGATGAGGCTGCGGCTTTGTTAAGGATATCCAAGTACTTTGGCTAGTTTTTCTCCAGTGAAATGCTTTACTACTTTTGTAGTCGAACATCAGAGCTTTCATTTGAGCCCCATGTGACCCTAGTTTCCGGACATTTTACAATGATTTTAGTGTTAAAACTGTGCAGGTTTGAATTTGAATCTCGATATTGAACCGTTAGAAATGATTACATAATAATCCGATAAAATTTTTAGACTCCAATTTTCAATTTCTGTCATTTATTCTAATCATTCTACCAAAAGACAAGAATAGAAATCTAATTTATGGGGATTCTTCCATTATTTAAAAAAATATATCGATTTTAAAACTTTCCAAAGATAGTGAAAATTTAATTTTTTCTATTCCTTCCCGCCCCCGTTTTTTGCATTTCCTAAATATCTACTCGCTGAAATATTAATATCCCTCTAATACTTGAAGAAAAAAAGTGATTCGAAGTTTCTGCGGACATAAAAGAAGAGAAAAATCCATTTTCTAGCCGGTTATCTCTTTCTGATTCTTTTTTATGTCATTTCATAATAGTAATTGGAATTCGACCGTAGGAATGAGGAGTACCGATATCCTTTTATCATATGAAGGGAAACAGATTTTACAAAATTTCTGCATGCCTAAAAAATAAGGTTTCCGAAAGTTTAAACAATTTCAGTTATTTAAAATTTCCGTTAGTTATTCGTTATTGTAAAAAACGAATGTTAAAAAAAAATATTCCGAACAAAATGTAATTGGAATTACGTTGAATATTCATGATTTTTTTCAAATTTTTCTCCCGTAATTTAATTGATGATTGAAAATGGTTGAATCTGTAGAGTATTTTGTATCAAACTGTAAAAGATAATTGAATATTCTTAAGTGAATGTTATTCAGTAGTGCACATATTTTTCTTGTAATCACTTATAATTTCCGTAAAATTAATCATAGTTTTGAGAAAAACTTGAATTCGGTTGCGAAAACTGTGTTATTGGCAAAACTAAATAATTTCTAGGGGAATAATTTTTCTTTAGGAAAAGAATATTCTTTCCTCGTGAATGTATTTTTTCTATGGTGTACTCCTGTGGGGTTCTCACAGATTAAATGATGAGGTACAATTAATTATACTTCTTCCCGCCGAAAGTCCGAATTTTCCTAGGAATATTTCTAGTGGTCGACAAAAATTCAATTTTTGTGATTTTTATCAAGTTGGTTAATTTCGCTCAAGTAAAACTGTTCCACTCCATCAAATATTCTCGCGTAGAACACCTAATTTTTCGAAAGAACCAATTCTTTCTCTCAGTTAAATTTCGAAAATAAATCTTATAAATCAATTATCTCTGAAACAGATGAGTAAGATCGATCCGAACAATTCAATCCCCGCATTCTATGCGGGGAAGAGTGTTTTCATAACCGGTGCCACTGGATTCATGGGGAAAATTTTGGTGGAAAAATTGTTGCGTTCATGTCCGGAAGTGAGGGAAATTTTTGTTCTGTTGAGACCGAAGAAGGGATTTGGAGTTGATGATAGACTCCGGAAGTTGTTATCACTGCCGGTAAGTCCCAAATATTCCAAACCATCCGAGTGCTTAAATTACGAATCTCTCGTATTTTTCTTAAGGTGTTTGATAAATTGCGAAAAGACCGGCCGTCGGTTTTTGATAAACTGATCCCAATTGTCGGAAATACTGCGGATGAGGGCCTGGGAATACCGGACATCGAGAGGAGAGTTCTTATCGAACGAGTTTCAGTAGTTTTTCACGTGGCTGCTAGTGTAAGATTCGACGACAGTCTGAAAGAAGCTATTTTTCTCAACACTAGGTCTACGAGGGATATGTGTATTCTTGCGGCTCAGATGAAAAATCTGAAGGTGAGTACCCCCAATATAACCATTCAAATAAATTATAATCTTCGGAATTTAAATTGTAAATCCTCAGGTCTTTGTGCATGTTAGCACGACTTATTGTCAAGCTGATAAGCCAGATGTTGAGGAGAGAGTTTATTCCTTCGATGTTGATTGGAAGAAGACGATAACAATTGCTGAGAAAGTGGATGATCGACTTCTCAAGCCTTTCACGGCCAAGTACTACTATTACTGTTATCAGATTCATTTCAAGTTCACCGAAAAAAATTTTCTAGAAAAATTTATGTCATCCATAAGTGATTTACAACTTACATAAAAATTATTATGTAGGGTAGCTGGTGTATGTACCGTCCACTTAAGAGAAATGAGTTTTTTTTCCAGCCTCGCATTCTACAAGGAGTCGTAAACGGTTAGAATGGGTTCTTCGAGGTGTTTACTCGAAGATGTGAAAAGGACAGATTTTTTATCAACATTAAACATATTTAATTATGTAATTCAATTGCCATCGGGCAGTGAGCGATGGAATCGAACTTTGAGGGTAATACCGCCCGGCATGCGTCCAATACCGCCCACCTTGTTTTCATGAATTTTTTGAGCAATGCAGACCAACTGTTGTAATTTTCCCCATTTTCATCCTTCGTTTCCATTCTTTGGCTCCATTTTGAGAAAGATTTCGCGTGAATAATAATAAATTATACTGAATTTACCCGATGGTCCAGTGGCCACCGACTACCCCAAACAATCGAGCTGTCACTCGACCGCTCTCTAGCTGCAGAGTCTAGCGGCCCTACAGAAACCCTGGGCGGCATTACTCACAAACTCTGGGCGAAATTACCCACAAACGCGGAAGCTGATAAAATAGACAATAATAACTGATGAAGATATTTTTCTACTATCGAAAAGGTCGCAATGGACGTGGAAATGTATAACGAATATATCTTTTGCACTCCATTCAATTATGGACGAATTGAAAATTTGAAAAATCTTAAATTCTGGGATCGAAATATTTTAAGAATTCGGTAGGAAATGATTTGGGTTTTTTTTTAACGATGTTTTCACGGGAGAAAATTGGAAATTTCTTTTGAAATTACTTGTTGTTATTATTAAATACTTGCAATAAAAAAATATAAAAAAATTTCTCAGCCAATCCTGAGGAATACTGGTGGGTGGTATTATCCGCTGGGCGGTACAGGCGCCAGCTACTCTAGAACCAGAAAAAATCTTGTGTAGCATGAAAACACTTACCCTAGAACCAGAGAAATTATTATGCTACACCAAAAAAATTATTGGAGGCCCCACAATTTTTCTGGTACCGCACGAGAATTTTTCTGATGCGACACAATAATTTTTCCAAGTGTGCGGATTGTGTTTCGTTTGCGGTGCTCAGCACATGAATTTTCTCAGAAAATTTTTCTCCATGTACCCATTTATTTGATGAATATCAATTACTGAATGAACATTTTTTGTCAGGTATCTGGACAACTTTCCAAACACCTACACTTTCACAAAACGCCTCGCCGAGCAAGTTGTCTCGGACTACTCGCACGCAATCCCCTGTGTGATCTTCAGGCCATCGATTGTGGTATCATCCCTGGAAGAGCCCATGCCCGGCTGGATTGACAATTTTAACGGGCCTGTGGGGATGCTGATCGGAGGTGGAAAAGGCATTCTGAGGATTCTCTTTGGGGACCAGCATCTCAACGCTGATTTCATTCCCGTGGACATTGCCACCAAGGCTATGCTGACTGCAAGTTGGAAACGTGGGCTCATACCGTACGATTTACATATTGATGAATCAGTCGATAGTTTCATTTATGGGATCATTCGAGTATGCACTGATAAAAAAAGTTAGTTATGCTGAAAAATCGCGTGTTCCATGGGAGAATAATTGATGGAGTGGAACAGATTTCCTTGAGGGAAATTAACCAATTCCATGGTGATGCATCCATCTTCATTGAAAATTCAGCTTTTATGAAAATTAAATTTTTACTTGTATCCTCTTTTAATTTCTCGGATAAACAGTTCTATTGGGCGGACAATGTTATTGGACAAATGCAACGATTGCAAAATGATTGGACGAATAATAATTGTTCAAACAGTACAAAATCCGAATTATGGAATGTTCATTTTTCAGGATAACCGCAGATCCGTCCGTCCACGTGTACAATTGTGCGTCAGCTGACGTCAAAAGTGTCTCCTTCGAGGAGCTTAACAACATGGGAATGCGTGTGATCGATAAGTATCCGCTGGAGGGTAATGTCTGGCGTCCAGGAGCGTTTCACACAAAATCCAAGACCGTTTACTATCTGTTGGTTCTCCTGCTACATCTTTTGCCTGGCATGGTCATTGATACAATCCTCAAGTTCAGTGGACGAAAACCAATGTACAGTTGATGCTTTTTCGAATGCACGAAAAACAATTACGGAAAATCAGTTCTGGCTTAGCGTATTTTATTCATTTTACCGAAATGTTGAGTCGATGCTTTCGTTCAGGCTTATATGTATCGATGTGATATGCTTCGCGGTGACAATTGCACGATTGAGAATTTTTGGTTGAAATGTCCGGTACAATTCTTGGAAATTTACATCAAGTTACAGATCTACTGCAACTTCGCAGAATTCCATTAGTTAAGGTTCACAATTTGATGAAAAAATCAATGAAAAAAAAATGAATATAAATTTAATGGATCGGATTTCTTTCCAATAGAATTTAGAAAATGAGGTAAAATCGAGCATTTCTCTGTTGTCGTTTTTGAGTTATTAACGATTGATTATTCAACTCTGCCCGAGTTATTCAAAAGTATCATGAGGCAATTGTTTAGACTATATTTTGTAATTCCAACACAAAAAATTGAAAACTTGTATTGAACCAATTCAGTAGCGAAGTGGTAAAGGGAGATAAATCAATTTTGACCATTGACCAGTTTTCAATCAATATCTCGGAATCTAAGGGAGATAGCAAAATTTTTGTTATAACCTTTTTTGTGGAGCCGATTGAGTGCTACAGCAAATGTAAGTACGAAAATTTCGCTATCTCCCTTAGATTCGGAAATATTCCTCAAAAACTCAACTGGAAGATAAATCGACTTATCTCCGTTTACCACTTCACTACTGAATTTGAAAGCGTCCGTTCAGAATAAACTAGGGTTGATTTTCTCACACAGTTTTTTTTCGGGCATAACTTGAAGATCCAATTGATCAATCGATTGTCTCATTTGAATGATCTCTCCAGGCTGGTTAACCTCCATCGAAAAATCTACAGTGCAAATAGCGCTCTCGCACATTTCCTGATGAATCAATGGAACTTCCAGAACGCGAAGATGAGGAGTTTACTGAGCGATGTACCACCGGCTGACGTTGATACTTTCGGATACGAATATGCGACTTTCGATGCGAATCGCTACTTCAAGTAAGTCAAACTTCGATTTAATTTTGTGGAAGGAATAGAAAATGCATTGAAATTATTTATTCGCAAATACAGCACGGAGAAAAAAAGATTCGCTTCCCTTAGGTGGGCGGTAGATGCGCACTGAGAGAAAAATATGATTCTTCTGACTATATTCCATCACCATCGAGTTATAGTCAAAAAGTCCTCAACAATTTTTCATGGGTTACGGTAACTATGGCCGGAGAAGTAATTACTACAATGGAATGTAGTCATTGCAACTATTTTATAGTTCTCCTCACGATAGATTTGTCGTGGTTACTTTTGAACTTTGGTTAGTTTAACTGCATTTTGATTTGCAAAAATTACGCTTGTGAAGTTACTATAATGTTATGTGCCGCATACAAAAAAAAGCGTATCGTTCACCAAAACTACGACAACTATTTTCTTATTGTAAATCGAACTTCAGGTTTTTCTCTCAGTGCACCAGTTGCCCTACATTATTTTTTCCGTGTGTTAGATCATTGAATTATTATTCAGAAATCACACCCGAAGGGTTGGTTTACATGAATCTTATAAATAGATTGTAATACAGCTTTTATTCACACTTGAACTTCATTTTCATGTCTCTTTTTTTTCACATCAAATGAATATTTCTCTAATCATAAAGAAGTTTTATTCATTCGAATAAAGACCGTAGTAGTTGAAAATAAAATCATTGACTAGTCCGTGAAGAAAACGAGTTTATCAATATGTAATAATCTTTTATTTGGAATGCATGAATTATTCATTTCATATAATGGAATTTTTTTCATCGAAATGAATAGTTTGTTTTTTCTCTCGTATACTCTTTCGGGTTCTTACGATTTGTTCCCTTCCCACCCTCCAACCCCCTGAAGCGCATTCGCCGAAGGGAGGGAAACCTCACTTGAGGGAAACAGGTACATTCATCTCGTGCGAGACTACCTCTCGGCAACTGAAACCGTGAAATTTAGAGTGTCACAAATTCCCCTCCCCCCCCTTCAGACGATGATCAAACCCGGGTCTCTGGCATGCCAATCCCATACTTGAACAATACGGAGAGAAAAATTCACTAAAAATTACCAGAAAAAAACGTAAAAATTACATTTCGAAACGTAATCCGGGAGCGAAGTAAAATTCAATAAGAAGTGTGAGTCGGAACTGAAATTGTACGAAACACCACGGAAATTCTACGATTTGTTCCGTAACAATTAACCATTCATCTGATGACTCACCGCTGTGGGAACCATAAGTGGTTCCGTATTTTTCCCCAACGATTGAGAAATTTTACGGAACGGTACATAGAAATAACTCACCAGCTTCATAAAACTTGTTGAACGTTCAAGAATTTTTAATTTAGTAGGCATAATAAGTCGGGAAGTTTCTGGAAGATTCTACCTCTTCGGGAAAAATTCCGTGACAATTTCGTACTTTGTTCGGTAATGAACCTGAAAATTCACTGAACGTTTCAGATTTCTTCTCTTCCATTCCTATAAAAATTTCCGGAAAACGATTCCCCATTGTGGATCACGTGAATTGTTCCGTAATTTTTACTGAATATTTCTTTCCGTGCATACAGCCACCGCCGTCGACCATCGAAATAAATATATAAATTTGTTAATTTCCAATAAACATACTGTCGAAATGAATGAAGAAATTTGAAAGAAAACTTTTGATTTGATTCAAACGCGTCATTTGTCTGTGTGTATTTCAGAAAAATCACAATTATTTAGTTATGGATTCACCAAAACGTATATTCCTCAATATTTGTTGAATCATAAATTGCGAGTCATGATTGCTGATTTATCAAATATTAACATAAACCTCCGTAACATTGCTAAAACGTAATATTGACAGATATTTTCAATTCCCTATGCTAGAAACTGTTTAATAGCTGCCAAACAATTCCTCTTGAAAGAAGACCTCGCTAATCTACCTGCGGCGAGACTCCATTACGAAAGGTGAGTGTGAATAATTCTTGAAAATATTGTCATCGCTTTAAATCAATATTTAAAAGAACGCTGGATTAAGAAGATAACGACTGAGAATACAATCACTTTCGCGTGAACAAAAGATTCTAGTGCAGAAATGTCTCATCATTTCTTAAGACATCTCACGTGAATTCAAATATTGACACATTTTAATGCAAAAATCATGTCTACTACGTAATCTTCAGGTTGTAACCTTCGAATGAAGATCAACATGAATCATGTAACTGATTGTCAAAAATGCATTTCGTTATCTCAACGTTGAATTTCACTCTGATGAGATATATTGTTATTTATTACGTTCATCAGTCGTATTTTGTTATGGACTTTACGAGTGACAGAAAGAGCCGCGCGATAAAGTTGCACAGAGAAAGGGAAATCCCAAGTATTAACTCTGGATTTTACAGGCACGACCATAGGAATACATTCCGCAAAAAATTCATGCCGGCACATCATCTGCAACAAGAATGCAAATGATAGTTGGAAAAAATTACGTGGGTGTATTCTGTAATCGTACCCTCGCTGTATTATCACAACCTTGCACAATATTGTTAAAGGTGTAATGTTGACCGTAGTATATCAAGAATAAGGTGTTGATTTCCCCATGGAAGTAAAGATATAACAAATAAAGATTTAACTGTTAGAATTTTCTTGAAATTTTGTGGAAGATATAGCAAATCTCATGGGAGTGCCATTGAAGCGGATTGGAGTAGAATTCATAATTTGATTGAATCTCCAGTAAAACATGAATATTTAGAAAGAAAATGGCATGAATTTTCCATTTTCCTGAATTTTCCTGATTTTTCTAAATTTTCCCCATCGTCCAAATAGTGAGTTAATCCGACTTTCACGAAGGAGGGATAAACCCCCAATAAAACGATATCAGCAGAACAATCTTTCAGATAGAGTTTATGTTCAAAAACGTACAAAATTTCGTCAAAATCTCTCCTCACGTTTCTCATACACTGTTCGAAAATTACTCCTGAAATTTCATGTAAAAAATCTTGAAATTTTTAACAATCACTCATTTACACGAAATTTCATGTATTTTGTGATTGAAAAATCAATTGAATTCTGGAGTATTCAATGGACCAGCAATTTTCAGGTCCACATAATGAAAATCATTAAATAAATTGAAAATTCAGTTCAATGTGATGTTTCAATTTCAATTTCTGCAATGAATTTGCAACTTCTAGATGCCTTTGAAATGATTGATAATCTAACATGGAAAACCCCATTATCCTGAATTAAAAACCCGACTGAGAGATTCCATGAACAATTTGTTCTTAAGTTGCATTCCAATTCACAACATTGAAACTTCAGATGCAACTACAGCTTAATTTTCAAAAAATTTCTAACAGTGTAATTCGATGTTTATTTTGTAACTGCAAGGCCAACTCACTGAGCTATTACCTCCACAATATGTTTGCTTCACTCATGGAAAACACACTTTATTGGTGTAATGAACTCCGTGCGACTGAGGACAGTTGGAAGGTTGACAACATACAGAATATGTCCTAGCTCTGGCTTGGGTGTGTTTGGTCGATGCCCGTAGTGTCGTTAGCTGAGAACAACTGGGTCAAATGCCGATGCACGAGGTCATTGCACGCGATTTTCTCAGGCTGATTCATCGGCGAACAAAAAAAACCGAGACAATTGCCCCGAATCAATGCACATGCAAGAAATTATGATACGGATGCAATAAATATCCGATATGTGGGCACGAGTGGTATATCCAGTTTCCTACCGATCTGGCATTATGAATCACCAGATGACCTCCAACGGGGGAATTCCAATTGTCTCACATCTTAATCAGTCCACCCTCTCCTAAACTATATCTCCCTTTTGGGCGTTGATATACTAATGCTTGAAATACTGGGTACTAACCGGGGAAATCCTTTTCTCTCTCAGACACGTCGTTCTTGACTTTGAAAAATACTCAACAGGTGCTATTTATAGGTTTCATTGTAAAAAAAGTATCGTCATTTGCGTCACACTTTAACATATTCGTAGTCGCGTGTAATATTTTTTCTTGCCTCGGTGGAGTAAATTATTCAGTTTTGTAGCTAGCTAGGTGTGTTTCTCTGATTTTGGCGAGGATCGACGACCGACTGCGATGTGATCCTTGGAGCCAACGGTTTTTTATGGTGTATCAGAGGATGTCCTTCTTGAAAACCGGTTGGAAATTGGCAGCAGCTCAGTCGGGACCCTGACTCAAGATGCATCCAGTGATAGGGGAAATCTGTTTACGCATTTATTATTCATCCACGTGTTTATGGGTCTACTATTTTTAGGACAGCACAAAGACGATGATGTCGCATTTAGCTATGGTATTTCATAGATTTCTCGGTGATGCGGATTTTGGTAGCAATAAAACTCCGGGAAATTTATCATCAATCACGTTAATGCATATAAATTGCGCAATTATAGTCTCACGTTGGTGGTGTCTCAAGCATTATTATGCATTCATGGGTGGCCTTGGAATACAACTAATAGACAATACTCCAATCAGTTGGTCAACGCTACGAATGCAATGAGCACTAGTTGCTACTGGGAAAGCTGTTTTATTGTGAATAGATAGAAAAAGATCAAATGTCGAGGTGGAAAGTTTTTTCGGTATATGATAAGCTAGTTTTCCTGAAGATTTCTGAACTCGATGGATGCTAATAGGTGTAGTCGATGCTTTATGCAACTTACATCATTCAGAGGGTTCCAAGAACTTAGTTTCAAGATCGAGACTGAATTCATAATCACTCACGTGTGCAAAATGAAAATGCGTTTTTTTACAAATTGTATTTCAATTTGATTTTCTTCTGAGTAGCGATGAGGAAAGAGCGGAAAAGCTGCAAGTCGCGGATGATTTTATTGCCCTGGAGATAATGTTGATTTTTTACGTATTTAGACAGCAGTATTTGGATGGTTGATTTTCAGTTGAGGCTGAAATTTTTGCGATGCAAGAACAAGAATTGTTTTCTCACGGATTGAGCGAGTAATAATGTCACCAGAAAAGTACCGACACTGTTAGAAAAAAATAAAATTTCATGGACAGTTGACTACTAATTCTCAGAACAGTGACACTAAATGCGATTTAGGGGAAAAAAATCATGAAATTTCAGGTTTCACTGGAAATTCAGTAAAATTCCGGAATTTTAAGCGGCATAAAGACGAGAATTCCTTAATTTATTGAAATTTCCAATCGAATATCAATATTCAGTGACCAATTACATTGAATTTTCAGTGAAATCTGAAATTTCATAATTTTTCCCCCCTAAATCGCCTTTAGTGTCACTGTCCTGAAAATTCAAGAATATATTTGCCGGAATTTTCCGGTTTTCTACCCATTTTCAGGGAAAAATGGAACTGAAATTTACAGTTCTCTCTGATTTTTCCACGAAATTCTGAATTTTCAATGACGAAATTCCTTGAAATTTCACTGGTTATTAAATTCGATGAAATTTTCCGAAGAGTGTACCGGAAATTTCAGACAAAATTTTTTAACAATGTATTCGAAATTTGCCAATCTACCACGGATTCGTTGTTTAAGAACTTCATAAGAACCGCTTTCTCACAAGATGTAAAAATCGAGTTAGGAGGGACACACAATCCCCGTTTGGTCTATGGCTCACGTGCTAGAAGCCCGCATTTCATTATTTATTATCTCCTATACCGTGTATACTATAGTACAGCTTGCTGGAATTTTTTCAATAACTGGAAGATATTATAAACATTATCTATGAAAAACATGGGGACAATCGTAAGAAATACCTCTTTTCTGTGGATAAACCTTGACCTATTGCTTCGCGAATCTCGAATTCCAAAACCTCAACGTAAGACTTTCAGAAGGCTCAAATTGAGATCTTACCGTCTCAAATTGACTTTCGAAACTCTCAACTTAAGAATTTCAGGCTTCAAATTAAGACTTTTGATAATTTTACTTTAAGACCTTTGGAATCTTCAAATAAAGTACAATTTTTTTGGGTGCATGAATGGTTTGATTTGAAATCAAATTCGAATTCAAAACATTTGGAAGCAAAATAGACCAAAGAATTTCATATGCCCCTCGACTCTTACCCGGATATATTTTTCGACTATTAGCTCACGTACCAAACTCGCAAAGATTTTTAATGATTGATCCACTTTATTTTCCCACCACAAATCACTCTTTATCTAAATATTTTATGATGTAGTTGATTACAGCCTAATTTTACTCGTCACGTGCGTGACCTGGTTGTAATAACACGGCTATCAATGCTACTTATGTAATATTGAATATCTGATTGGAATATGTGACTTGACCAATTATGAGAGTTTGATTAGCCCACTAATGAATTTAATGGAGATGAACTAATTGAATTTAAAAAATCTCATATATGATGAATAATTTGCAGGATGGTATGGGTTGACAGGATTTTCAAGACCCTCTTCGCAGCCTTCATGATTTGGTTGAGTATCCGCAGTGGATTAGTCAATTGGATGTTATCAACCTTGGATTCTTCCAGCAGAATACTGACTGGCACGTAGGAACGATAAAGATTACTGCAAAAATCTGCAATCATTCCTCGGATCTCGAGGGAATTCAATGTATTCTGATGTATCCATCAGTAGATAATTTCGCCGAATAAATTTGTAATAAGTCATGTTATTTCATTACAAAACAAGGTCTAGACAACAACAACAACACAACTTCCCAACTGGCAATAACCTTCAGTTTAGTTGTTTTCTTTTCGACGGACCTTGGCCATTTTTTTTCAGTAGAGGTCACGTCCACGTCCAATCAAATGTGCGGTTTTTTATCGTATGAAAGTTATATGCTACGGATAAAGTGCTTTCCGACAGGAACCGAAATGGGAAAATTCTTTAAAAAATCTAGCGCTAAAAAATTCAATCATTTTTTTGTAAGTTGTCATAAAAAAACGAGAAAAAATCAAGTTTAAATTTTTCCATATGACGGCATGTGGCTGTATAGGAATAAAATCGTTAAATTCTCCTTACCAGGATTTTTGATGGATTGACTTGAATTATGATTTCCATAAACAAAATAGTGACGAACAAAAATATGTAACCGTCTTTAAAAATTCAATAAAAATATTCGAAACAATAAAAAAAGATTGTACTTTATTGATGTGTCATGACCGTCAATTTGCATCATACTACAATATTACTGTCTCTAAAAATTCGGAACAAAAAATCGAAAAATTGGAATTTGCAAAAAGCTCACAAATTTGATTGCCGTCACTATAATATGCACGTGATAACCAAAATTTAAGTGAATCCATCAAAAATCATGGTAAGAGGACTATTTTAACGATTTTATGCCTGTACAGCCACATGCCGTCAATGAAAGAAATTAAAACTTGTTTTTTTTTTTAATTTTTTGAGTATAAAGAGTGAGTACCAAAATCACAAACACAGTAAGTGTTTGAATTTGAAAATTGCAGTAAGCTGCAATTTTCAAATTTCATGGCAGTTTCCTTTCAATTTTCTACAGAATATTATCTATTGAATTTTTCTCATCTGAAAAATCTGCAAAAAGCTGCGAAATTATTTTTGCACAATTGTCGAGAAACTAAGAGAAATTCCATTACAGAATTTTCAGTAGAGTTTTCCTTTTCTTTTTTTTCATGCGTACATTACTGATGATCTGTTATAGAGACCTATACAAACTCAACTGTCGAAAGCTCATGTACACAATGTAAGAGTTGAATGAACAAGGAAAAAGTCCAAAAAATCATTTCCAGGAGATCTTCAGCAGAATTTCATTACTGTCCTCGCCATTTCGTGCAGAATGCCTCTTCACGACGTAGAAATCACCCATAAATTCATCATTTCATGCACGGATCTGTCAGAGAATAAGATATCTACCGGAGGAGTTGGCATAGGTCGGGTAAATGAGCGTCAATTGTATTCCTCACGCAGCTATTTCTACCTTATGGAAATATGCAAGGACTATGTAAATGCACTCCATAACTCAGTGTCCGTTAAGTGCATAAAAAATTGTAATCTGAATGTTTTGTTGTGAAATAAACATGCATTTAACGTTATCTGTAAAAACGACTATCTAAATTCAAGTGGTAAAAGCACTGACGCACTACAACATTCACTTGGAACGTTTAATTGTGGTTAAAGACCAACCGCGATCTGGGATTTCCTGGGACTAGATGCAACGATACTGACGTCAATGAGGTAAACCATCCGTACTGGTGCAATTATTGCATAAAATTGTTGTAAGATAAATTATAATGTGAATAATTAAGCTGAATGAACAGTGTAGCTGCCGAAGATCGTCATTCTTCATAGCATGATGACGTTCAACAGAAATCTCACAGATAAGTTATGGAATTTGCGATCTTCATTGTCTTTCAATAATTTTTTTCCTACAAGTACATCATTTTTTCTGGATACATTATCGGTTTTTTTACGCGTGCTAAAATCGAAGAGCTGCTGATCAAAAGGCGAGGCAGTCGTTTTGCGCAGACTTTCTCAACGTACATTAATGATGACTCAATAACACCCCTATCTGATCCATTCCTCCGATGCGGACAATTCGCTGTCGGTGAACAGCGGACAACTGGCTCACGTGCCCATACGTTATGTCTCTTCATGAATCTTTGTTTACACACAAGAGGAAGTTTTGTTTTTCTCGGCTACATCACACTAATTACAATGTTTCACCGCAATTGTATACAAATAGGTGAAGTATGCTCAACTAGTCACGTGTCGGAGAATCGTGAGCTATGTTTATGACGGAGTGAGTCAACTTTTGAGATTATGGAGAACATCGTAACTCGGGACAAAGTGAGGATTACCGGAAAACCGCGACTACCGGTTTTTTTTAAACTTCCGTTTCCCTTGATTTTTCGATATCACCAAGAAGTGAAATTGAATACTCTCCAATTGTGCAACAGAATCAGAGAAAAATATCGAAATTGTCAATTCATCGGATGGAAAAATTATCTCTGTGTTGCGATTTTAAAAAATATCAATTTCTGCGAGCATGTGATAAGAACAGGTCGTCGTGGATCACCGAGTATGGCTCCATCGTATTAATCGGCGCATGCGCAGTGACGGTACCGGGAATAAAGGCGGGTTCCCCCCACGCTTGTTGAATTAACACTTCAACATTTGTAGAGGCAGGCAGAATCAAACAGACCCGGTTAGCGCGAGGCAGCCTCTTGGAACTCGCGTATATTATTTTCTCATGATACGTAGAACTAAGATCGCGATACAAGTACAGTGAGAGAATCAAGACTTGTATGAAGTTTTCAATCTCTTGTCAACGGACAGGAGCAAAAAGCCACTAATAAAGACAATTTGTGATAAGCGGACATAATCATAGTGTTTATTGTGCAAATTACAGACTTTTGAACTAGTGCATGGAAAATTTACGAGGAATTCATCGAAAAGTTGAATTACGTAGGTGACTTTTTCGCGAGTAACTAGACTCTTTGGGATCATTTGTCTTGAAAAATCTTAACATATGTCTCAGAGTATAAGCGATAAGGACTTGATGGAAGAAATTCCAAGTATCTTAATGAAATAAACGAACTGATCATTGATAACAAATGGATAATTTGGCGATTTGCACCCAAACATTGAATCAACATTAATTTTAACACGCTTTCCTCATTATAAGTAAGTGCAATAGACTTGAAATTATCCACTTTTATCTGATTAATTATTTTACATATCTGTCATCTTATCAAACGTAAATATTTTCCCTCCCTGTTTGCACAAAATGTCCATTAATTCGTGAAATGAAAAAAAAAATCACCACTAATTTTGAAACACCCAGTAATTGAATGACTAACACTCGCTGATTGACATCAACGGAACATAAGCGACAATAATTCAATCCTAATGATTCGCGATTCCGCATTTTCGTGGAATTAGATATACCAAGAAAATTACCACAAAATACATAATGTAGTTTATGCACAAAGATATTGTAAAAAGAATTATTGACAAGCAACTAGAATGAGTATTATCTACATGAATGGGTGAAAATATAATGCACCCGGAAAATAGTAACAGAACAGATAAGGAGCAAGGATTCCAAATGTGCCTGATGAAAATATTTTATACAGACTTGAGTAGACAGTCATCATTCATTGTCATCGATGGTGCATCCTCATTCATAGGGTCTTATTTTCACAACAAAATAAACTCATACAATTGCTTGTGAATTTGTTAGCCTGCATGTTTTTAACGCGTATTTAACGGACCCAAGCGTTGATACATGAACAGTCAATACGAAAAGTCAATTCATTATTCAAGTTCACCTTCATGAATATATGATTAATTAGCGTAATACTTAATATCATTATCGAGCAATCAAATTTGACCTCGTTCTTGAAAAGTGAACGAACCGACACCAAACGAGTGCTACTCCATATTTATGTAAGCGACTTGATTGTTCGATCTTGACATTCATCAAGACTAATACTGACCGTGTCAGTCAGCGATGGTGGTTTCTAATGGCTAAGATCATTAAGAAAATTGAATCGTAGGAGAGCTTGAGAATTCATAGAAACCGGTTACAACGAACAAAGCTTATATCCTTTATTTTTTTCTGTCGTAGATAGATAAAAGACGGCGGAGTACGAGCGCCTATCATTTCAGTGAGAAAATTCAACTGTTGATGATCTGAATTATCAGTCTAACAGGTATATTCAGATCTTCATTTCATCTTGATTAAAATTCAGTAAAATACATGCTAAATTACATATTTCTTCAGCTTAGGAATGGCTTCTCACGTAGAAAACTTGTCGTTCAAAGTCCACTATCCACTAAGCCCGACTTCCAGCATTTGCTCAGAGAGATCCACTCCGTCACCCGATTCGGGATTAGAATGCCCTCAGAGTCTGGCGAGTGATTCTAATTTCCTTCAGCTGAGATCGGAGAATCAAGTGGCCAGACGAAAGATCTCAACATCTTCAGATGCTTCATACGTGTCTACAAATCTAAGCCACGATGGGGGTTTTTCAGACACTCCAGATGAGATAACAACACCTTCCAATATCGATGATGATATTCTTGAGAAGTTTGATGGCCTCGAGTGTTCCCCCAGGAACTCAAACCTGGATAATCCAGAAATCACCGTCGACATTGTTAGTGAACAAGAAGATCTTCATGACGAGGATGATGACGATGATTTGCAGGAAAGGGGACCTGAGCCAAAATCTAAGCATAATCGCAAAAAACCCTACGAAAGCTGTAGTGATTGGTTGCAATCAATGGAAAGTCAAGCTTATTCCCCTGAGCTCGACTCTTCAGCCCAACAGATTCTGAGCGATCCACAGCTGAGGGACAAAATAACACTCTGCCTTGACCAGCTGACTGACGATAATGAGGGACAAAGGAGTTGTGTAAATAATGAATGGATTGGCACCTCTGTGGGAAGTGGTCATCCAACTTGCAACAGCCATTCGGATGAGGTGAGTAATCATAGCCTTAGGAATAATCCTTGGAACTTGATAATCTTGATACTTTAATCGATATAATCTTGCAGAGGTCAATAGCATTCATTCCTTCCATTATTCTTCATCAGGATTGTCTTCCGAATGAAGAACAATTGATGTTCATCGATCTCCAGAAATTTCAAGCAGCCCAATCAGACACGAATAATCCACATCCATCGCCCGCTGCGAGTTCAGATAATTGGCCGGATTCACCAAGCAGCTATAATTTTTTATCCTCAAGGTCACACAGTCAAGCTTCGAGTCGCGCTCAGTCGCCCGGATCTTTAGGAAATATTGGATCACCGATGGTCTTAATTTCCGTCGCTGGAAGCCCACCGCAACAAAGACTCACACCTTTCAGACAGCCACGACCTCAATCCACATCATCATCGTCTAATTACTCCTTTGGAGACACCCCCAGTCCTTCGAATTACCTTCAATCCATCGACCGAAGAATTGAGGATCAACTTGGAAGACACTTTGGGAATATCAGAACCTGCGAAAGCTGTGAATCATCGAGCACGATTGTCAACAGTGATAACGTTGACGACATAGACTGCAGAATTCAGCTGATGAACGAAGTCATCAGGGACAACCGTGAGCAAGATGAAATGCAGGTTGTTCCCAAATATCAGAATGACACGATGACCTGCAGAATGCCTAACAAAAATTTCGATCGAAGCAACTACATTTTTCCCAACCCGATGTATCCCAACAGTGTTTCCGATCTTGGGAATACTGGGATTCTCATCAATTCAGCGCAGAACAATCTCATCTACACTGAGTACAATTATAGCTTCAATCAGAATGTTGTGAATAATCTTCAGGAAGGGAGAGGTAACGAACAGAGCTTTTCAGCTTCAGAACCTGTAACTGACTTCGTGGCTGAACTTGAAGATATCGCAACACAAACTTACCTGAATCAGAGTCCAGAGATTCATGGCTTGCCGGACTCGGAACCCAATTACAATATTCGGCCCGCAGACGTTGGCCATATACCCGCACAATATGGAACCCACCAACAATTCAGTAATCCCGAGCAACCTTCAACTTCGACCTTTGACAACTTCCCCATTCCGAAACCAGTTTCGCAATATAGATCAAGCAATTCCCGAAGGTAAGTTGAATAAACTAATCCCATGTGACACGAATCTCTGAATAATCTGTTACGAGAAAATATTCTTACGTATAACAACTTTCTCCTCTCTCTAGAAACTCATTCAGGAAGACCTCTCCATGGTCATTACTCAACCTTCCAGCGACATCGTCAAGTGAAACATTGAAAGCCCAAGTCAACCCTGAAGAGCTAGAGAGTGCCATGAGGTGTCTCTTGAAAAAATCGAATAGTAAACTGATGATGCCAGACAAGCACAGTAATGCTGATGGTGATACGTAAGTATAAGATAAGAAATTCGAAAGCATCTGCATCATTAGGATCTTCCTGAAACTCTTTGTTCTTCCAGGATGCTTATGTGTATCGTGAGCAGTCCTTCAGAACTAGAGACGATGAAAGCGTACTTAGCGCCTCTGGTAGAACGCCTCGGGCAAATTCCTAATGGGCTTTCGAAAATCAACAATCGAGGAGAGGATGCTTTATACTTAGCTGCTATGAACTGCCCTCAGATGCCTCATGTCGCGGGATATCTGGCAGCAGCGATGCTTCAGAAAGGAATTGATATCAGTCAGCGATTATATCAGACTCGCGTAAGTATGAATATTCAACCTCTGGAGACCCTTATGATTAAACAATCGGAATGTCTTCAACTATCACCAGACAATACTCTTGAGTAACGCACATGAACAATAAACCAAATTGACCATATGTGCAGGGTGACACATTGATTCACGCTGTCGCCGTCCGTGGCGAGACCCACAAGTCAGTGCTAGCTGAATTGCTGTCTCTGAAAACCGTTCAAGGCAATCCGGTATTCGATCTATCAAAACGCAATTACGACGGAAAAACACCCTTGCACGTATCGGTAGAAGCTCACGATCCATCGGGTTCCCGGATCGATTCGATTTCAATTGTGCGATTACTGCTCGAAAATGGGGCAGATCCCAAAGTTGAAGAAACAACACATGGTAACACCGCTCTACACCTCGCGGTTTCTTTGTCCAGCGATCCGAGTCTTATCCGAGTAAGTAAACACTCGTAACGATGTTATTATCCAATGAACATAATGATCGAGTAAATATCCTAATGATTAATGTGCTTCTCTTCAGACCCTGTTAGCGAAGAAAGGCTGTGAGGCCGTGAATGTTTTCAATCGAAACAGAAACACTCCTTTGCACATGGCAGCGGCAGTATCTGATAGAATAAGCTTGGACGTTCAGAAGGATATTTGTATGAACTTGATCCAGGCCGGGGGGTTAACGAACATTGCGAACGGCCAAGGGAGAACTCCCTTGGCTCTTGTATCTTTCGAACGAAAGGAGTTCATTAGACACATCTTCCAGGGACGGGAGCTACGTTTCTCATAATGTAATCATCTTTATGCCCTACTCTCATCATTCTAATATCTCTCACTATTTTGTTTAACACCAAAGAGACGAATGTAGATTAGCCTTTGGCTTCATGTTTTTGTATATCAAGGAATATTTTCGTAATATGTTAAATGGGATTTAAATATCTAGCAGTAAGACATGCCTAGTTGAGAGTAACCAAAGACGTGCGGACTGTACTTCCGCGAGATTAAATATTTTAATTTCATCCATGAATAAATCATAATCAGATGCGAATATTCTTAAGTGAATGGATGATTTCATGAAGACTGAAAATTTAAAAGGATAGTAAGTTAATAAGATGAATATTGAACGTGTAAATAAATTAAGGGGTATTACTATGCGACAATGATTCTGCACTTGTGGGTGATGGTACAAATGTTCTGTAAGGCATTTATATGTATACTGTTAATCATAAACGTGAACCATTATAACTTTTGTAAATTGTAGATCCATTAAAGAAAATGTATACTTAGATAAAGAATACGATTTTAATTCTATCTATCTTGTTGAGGATATCCATTTGAATTCATGATACATCGTCTATGGAAAGCCCGACAGGCAACCGAGATAAATTTTATCTTGCGTGTAAAAAAGTTGCAACAAGAGAATGGGCTGTGGTCAGTCGTAGAGTTCCGGTCTTGGAGGAGCTTTCCGGTGCGGTACAGTTCCCTATCCCATCAATCTGCACCCAGAGCTGACGACTATAATTCACCAACGTTTCAATCCAATTCAATACAGTTTTTAATCCTTTGTATTCGTTGGCTTTAATACGATCAAATAAAAGTACCACCATACCCGTCACTCACTATAAAGGGCGGCGAGAAAGATACGTCAATCATAATTCGGTTTATCTGATACATGTGTGTGGAAAAAATATAATTCTTTATTCCTGACTGAGAGACAGTCGTGGACACAACGCAAGCTGTGACTCAGTGGGTTTTTCTTAAGAGGAAAACATTCTTAATTTGATTGAGCGCGTGGAATAGCGGTGTGCGAGATAATTGAAGCGTTAATACTGACTTACTTTTGGGAGAAATTTCAATCAATTATCATGTCGACACGTGTCAATAAAGTGAAATGCAATATGCATTGTTTGTGGATAATTGTGCTAATACACTTGCACTTCATATCCGGGAAAAGTATAAGTGAATCTTGCTGGCATCAGAATGGCGAAGTTGTCAAGTGCAGATGCATAGGCAATGAGGTGAGTGGAAAGGAAAATTATTCATCTGGTGGTAATTCAAGAAATTTTCTCCAGAGTGAACATTTTAACCAGCGATATTTTTTCGGGGAAAAAACGATTCACATTGAATGCCCAATTTCTAGGAATTGACCCTGCCTGAAACCTTCAATTACGAAAATCTGACCCATCTGGCAATCTCATCGTGCGTCTCAGTGAATCTAGAATTCGACAGTCTCCAGCATGCACAACACATCCGTGACATCACGGTGGAAAATATCACCGGAAGTTTGTTATTCCATCCTATACTAATATCCAAGTACATGGGCACATTCGAGATAAAGAATGTCGGGCGCATACCGTTGATTGGTCATCACATGTTTACGAGTATCATGAGCATCGAGACATTTAAAATCGAAAACACAAGGATTGAAAATTTCGACGAGACGTTTCAAGGCATCAACATAACAAATTTAATCTTCCGAAATGTCACGATGGATGCAACAGTGGGGATTAATTTCTTAGTCAATGCAAAGTCACTGAAGATCATTGACACGGTGATACGAAATGTCACCGGTAACTTCAACATTGGGAGTTTCGAATCCATTGAACTTGTGAATTCAATGTTTGAGTTCCGAATGCCAGGGGAAATGTCACTCCATGGGAACACAGCGAAAATTAATAACTGCACCTTTTATAACATCACTGTAATTATTGTTGCCAAGAGAAACATTGAGATGAGGAATAATTGCGCGGATGGAAAGAGTTTGTTGAGGCTTGATTCTAGATTAATCAACAGCTTCGGTAACAGGTCTCCAAATGAGATAACTTTCCCGAAGAGCAATATTACGGAGATCCAGGCTTATAATAACACTGTCTGCATCGCTGCTAGTTGCAAATGCCCGAGAAGTTTTCATCGAAGTTGTCAGAGTATCCTGAATGTCAATGTTTCTCTTGGAATTATTTTAATACTTATTTCGTACCTCTTGTAAGGAACAGAGGGATTTAATTTCTCGAGATAACAAGTCGGTGATTGCTTCCATTTGAGTCCGGTATAAGTTCTTTTGCTCATAAATTAACAAGTTGTTTCTGTTTAACGATTTCAAAAATTAGATTCAGGATTCATTTTTATTCTCAATCTCATGAAAATGAGGAATCGCGGACGTTCTGTTACAGATCGAATTAAGAGACATGTTGATGGATCGTATTTCTTAAATTTTGCATAATATTGGACGGATTCAACTTAATTATCCCGCTTCATCTGGTGACAATCGAATTATTGTTTGAATTAAATGGAAAAACTGAAGTTTAGGTGTTCTCTTAAATCTCTTATTCTGTTCTTGGTGACCTTTTCATTCATGCCTCAGTTTTTTATTGCGCTCAGGGCTACGAATCAAGAATTAGTAGTACTATCACTACCATCTTTCATTATTCTAAGCATTATTCTGAGCTACGATTGAATTGATTCCTACAACTATTTTCCGAATTGTCGTCAAAAATTCAAATTTTGAAAAATGTTGATATACTGAAAGCTGTAGTATCGATGGGGTTCTCTTGATACCAAATCATAGAGCTTATTAAAGCCTGCACTCTGGATAAAAATTAAACATTAAAATTGGTAATCGAGAAAATTGGAAAGAAATCTCTCGACCACGTTGAAGACGGTAGCAATAATGGAAGAAAATTTGTGAATTACCTTTTGTAAAATGCGAACCGATCTACGTCGTAGTTTCGTTCCAAAGTCCAGATGATTCCATGTGGAGTTCAACACCGTTAACATGAAGTGCCAACTCCTGCCTTAAATCATTAATTTCCTGCATCATTAAACTGTTATTTTCCTCCAAACGATTTATCGTCTGCTGATAGAGGCGAATTTTCTTCTCTTGCTCGGTCTGAAGACTTGTGGACGAGAGTTTAGTCCTCGGTACATACGTTCCTAGATAATTTTCTTTTTATTACGACGGGAAGATTCACAAATTAATAGCTGAGCGGGAGATACTCACCGACAGTCTTCTGCAATTGATCACGAAGTTTATTTCCACTCTGCTGAATCCTACGTATCTCATGAGCATGTTGGTCCTCCTTTGACTGCATCTGCTTCTTCAACTTCAGCGTCTACAGCAAAATTATTAAATTATATTTTATGAAAGATGTAGAGGTATTTTAAAACAGAAATTGCTTACCTCTTCCTTTTCACGTTTAACTTCTCGGCTTAAATTATTGACTTTAACTTTTAGCTGACGTTCTCTCTCCTGCACTTCGTTTAAATTACTATCTTTCTTCTGAATCACCTCTTTCAGCCTTTTTATTTGATTCTAATTGGACAGAAAATTCATATTTCCATAACTTTTATAACTGAAGAATTGTATTTAATTGTAAAGTGTATTCATAATTAGGTTATTGCATGAAATTTTTCTATTCAATAAACCAACGAAACACGAATTTATTTCGACAAATCAAAAAGTTACGCCCAATTTAAGAATTTCTTCTGCATTATGTTTACAGCCACATATGGTTTATTCATTTATCATTATTCATTAGAATAGAAAAAGATACGTCTGATATTTGTCATCTAATTTTCATTCCCACAATAAAAAAGTTTTATGAACAACCTCAATTGCGGAGTTTATTTTATTCTTACCATATATTAATCCGATGGAAAATAAGTTAGCAAGAAAATGTAGGAAATAAATTAATGTGAGAGTTCCACAACGAAATAGAATGAAATATAAACTCACAGAGAGACTGGCATTGTCACTGGATATCCTACATCTCTCCTCTTTGAGCGCTTCATGTGACTTTATGAGGCATCTGTGTTTGTGGACCAAATGCCAAGTAGCATTGATCAGAATGACGAATATGTTCTTCAATCCCTCAGGAGATTTCAAGTCATCTGCATTTATAAATAGAGGGACGTCGTCAAAAGCCTCTAGTTCCTTCACAATGGAAAGAAAAAGAATGTCATTAATAATTCAACTTGATTATCTTCAGCTTTTAGAATCCCCCAGCGCTTTCTCTAAGAAATCTTATTGGTCTTTTTTGGAATTCCTTGTTGGAAGTCGTTTTAAAATTTGATTATTTTTGCTTCCGAACGGAAGCTTTTCCGATTTCTATTCGCGATTTTTATTCGCAGCAAATTTTTGTGGAAAGGAATCGACGGGACCTAGGAGAAAGGGCATAACTCGGGATAATCATCTAAAAAGGAGTATTTCGGAATTCTAATTTGAATGGACTTAAGTCAATGTTGTGGTTTAAAAAGGTTCAATTCGATTCATCCTCCAAGAAAGCATTATCTCAGCCGAAATTTGAAAAGGCATAACTCGGACAAACTCATCATATTTGAGTCGATTTTTGAAATAACCAATATAAAATCATCTGGGTAATTAGTCACTCTATGTTATTCTGTCTAACTTTTATCCACATTGTTTCCAAAAGAAACATTAACACGGCGGAGAGGAAATTGATATTCATATCGATAGGAGAGTTGTAATAATTTAGAGAAGGCTCATACTGTCGTTGATATTCATTTCTACAGAAAAGCCAGGGATTGAGTTTTTTTACTTTGTTCCGCATATTTTGTAATGCTTGACATTTTGCACAGAAGGCGGAAGTTTATATAGTGTTCCACATCTTGTGACGTCACAGAACATTGTTGGATAGGATTTTTGGGGTAGATAGGAGGAGAACCAGGATAATCCTCGCTACTAGTTTACAAGAAAAATTTACTGAAAGAATTGGATAGTTCAGACAGGGTTTTGACATTTTGTAATGCTTGACACAAAAATGCTGTAAAAAAATTATAAAATTCATGCTCAGAATTGTCTACAGTAACGATAATGGAAACGATTGAATAGAACAATTGAAATTTATCGATCTTCATCTATCGCGTACATTACGTTGATATTCCTACAAAAACTTTTTTAGAAAAATCTCCAAATGTTTCCAATGGAATTTCCCAGCGAATGCGCTAGATTTTTCTTGAATTTTTTCATGCAATTAAGGTATATTTATATATACCTCAAATACTGCAACAATGGCCTCATCAAAATTATCCAGTGTGCAAAACTCCATCAAATATTTATTCTGTTCGAGAGCATTTCTGATTCTCCTCATAGCGGACACACTGTCCCTATTGTCTGCCATTACGAACTGATAAATGAATTAGCTGAAATAAATTAATAACAATATTAAAATCCGGTGAATAACTAAAATTGTAAAATTATAGCAAATGAATTCGCATTGAGTTTCCAACGTAAACAGAACACACAATCACCGATGGGGGCATCGGGCGAGATAATTGCACCAATTGTTCCCCTCGATTATTACCCTCCCCCATTGTTTATTCGACGCAGGACTTACCGGCTACCACCAAGTGTTCCAATAAAACGAGTTGGTTCACTGATTTATGAATATGAACGTAGAAAGCACTGACGACTTGAGTTGTGCGAGAAATTGTTGTAGAATTCTCTGATAGTAATTTCCCTGGTGAGTCACGACAAATAATGGATCTTATTATTTCCTTTGATCCCACAACGGTTTTACTTCTCCCATCTCTGACGAAAATAAACACGTCTCGCATGAGTGCTTATGAGGGTGTAGCTGAAGACCAAGAGATGGCACCACGTGGGCCATTGGAGACTTTTACAATATTTAAATATATTGTTATGTATCCCCCCTTCGAACCCCTGATTTTGTTATTAATCGGAAGGATGCTTCTGTAGCTGGTTAAAGGACTACTGTCATCTGGATCATTGATTCTTCCATTTGGTTTCCTGAAGATGATATCTTCGTCTGTAGCTTCTTTTGCTAATAAACAAACTGTTCGCGCCATTTATTTATTTAGGTGTCTGTTCACTTTATTCCGGGTGTGTCGGGACCCGGCGCCCGGCGGGAACCAACCGCCGTCGGTTGATATTATTAAAAACTATCATTATATTTTACTGAAAAGAATAATAATACTAAGAAACTCCCTTACTTGATTATTTGATTATAAGTCTATTTCATGTTACAAGGAGGGGTAACGGAGATGACCACAGAAAGGTCACAGAAAGGCGACAGAAAGGTTACGAGGGTCAAGAGGATCAAACTCCCTTATTTGATTATGTGGGGATACTTTTTAAAAGATAAAAACAGTAAAAGATTTAATTCATACACATTTAATTATTGGAAATTATTTACAAAGGTTTAAATTATAAAAACACTTCAAACATTTAATTATGTTAAATGTTAAATTGAATCGTCAAGAACCGTCTAGTGCCTCACAAGAGGACTTCGTCAAAAAGTCTATTTCTTCTCGACTCTCCAAAATCAACTAACTCCTGTCACCCTCAGCCCTATCTATACTCAGTTCCTCCCCCTGGCGTCTTCCCCCACCAGCAAGCTTCGTTGGGCCTCACTTGCCAATTTCCCTTCTGGAAAAATCCTGAGACGTGGCAGCGTGGGCCAGCCAAGGGTCGTGAGTCACCTATGAGGGTACTCCGGTCTTTCCGCAATAAAATAATAAAACTACCCGACTTAATCTTATGTCCCGTCTTAATCCTACCTTAATAAAATACCTTCATAAAATATCATCGACAAAATTCTTAAACTTACAATGGGCGAACCTTCGCGTAGTTCCCCAGCGTCTAGACTTACTTCTTATATTTTACTTGGGAAGTTCCCCATCGTCTCGACAATCAAAAATCCCCGATACTACAGTATAGAACATGGGGGTCTAGGAGTCTCCCCTGGTCCAAAACCATCTTTAGAGCCCCTAGCACGCC